ATATATATGTATATATAATCACAGTAACTGTATACAGTAACAGTATAAATCACAGTAGAAAATGATCATAAAAAGCAAAGATGAAGTAATTTTTAAAGCTTTTCTTTAGCAGAAAACTGTAATTATAATCAAAGCAAGTATTTTTACTGTAGTACAAATGAACATAAGAAGACCAAACAAATGTTTTATATATATTGTAAAACAGTTTCAACAACAAACAAAAACATTTCTCACATTTTCAACAATATCAAAATAAAGTGGATGTTATAACTGGTACTTGTAGTAAAAAGACTCATTAAGACATAAAAACATAGTAAGTTGTGTAACAGGACCTTCAGCTGCACAGAGTTCTGTCATAAAACTGTTTCACATAACTGGAAGATAAGTGTGGTGAAGCCAAATAAATGTAACATCTGCCTGCCATACATGAGCTTCTGCTGTCATCTTCATCATCAGAGCAGACCTGTTAACCTTCAGGCCTAAAATACCATAAAACACATTAAAAAGTACACAGATTAAATGAAGTACTGCTTTTGAACCCTTTAGAGTAAATTCACAAACTTGGTCTCTTTTTAAAGCTAATAATCTGAATGTTTAACTTCAGCGGTCATATTCTTTGTTACTGTAACTAGTATTTAGTATATTGAAGTAAAATACACAAAAATCAAGAGTTTTCTCCCTAAATTTTTATTTTTTTATTAATAAAAGTATCACAGAATATGAAGAGAATGAGATATCAATAAACTATTTTTACTGGGATAAAATATTCATTCTCAACTATTAMCAGTTCAAATTTGGTAACAGTAGCATAAAATGTGAATATTTGACACATAGTACAATCCAGCATGTCTCATTTGTATATTTGTACACATGTACAGTATGTACAGACTGTATAGTTTGTCTAAAACACTGTAATTTATAAATACTTCAACACAGAGACTTCACTCTGGGCTCAAATTAAAGATGAAACCCCACAAAACACATTCTACCATCCATATTTACTCACAGCATGATTAAATTAATTTATATATTAATATTCATAAATATTTACACCAACTCAAGTCCATTCAACCAAATTTCCACCAATAAACAACCAAACCACAAGAATAAACAATATATCCTTATATCTGTCAGAACATTAACGTTTAACACAGCTTATAAAACCACCAGCAGTGAAAAAATTTGTTTTTTTACTCACATTTGATGCATATTTTTTCTCAAATGTCCAAATTAGCGATTCTAAATGGCGACCGGAAGTCTAATGGTGCGTTCACAGCAAACGTGATTTCAGCATCAGGAGCAGCAGGTTTACAT